GCTCCAATCAATGTACACTAGAGGAGAGAATCATAATGCTGCGATGCAAAGAGAAGCCTAGGCCTCTGCCCTGCATTCTGTATTCTTCCCATAATTCTATTATGTGTTATTACTCAATAAACATCTATTGGTCTTTGACTGACTGCTCACTGATTTCTGCCTTCATGAGGAATAGTAAAATCATTCATAGGTATTCTTGTTTTGATTATGAACATTCTGTAAAACTTTTACAAGCTAACATGTGCATATTTTTTAGACTTGGCATGATTTCTGTGGACAGATTAAGTGCATAATACTCAACATTTTGGGGAGATTGCTAGTCCTGAAGGATGTATGTTTCATCATGGGATGGAACTCCTATTAACTTTGCCTTTTCACTTCCTGTCTCCCAAACTGAGAATGCTTTTCTTCCTCATCTCTGCCTCTTGTCTAACCCTGGAATCTTTCAAGACTCCACCAAAACCTCACCTTCTGCAAAAGGCTTTCCCTACCCAGACCCCCCACCTACTAGTGCCTTCCCTCTGAGGTCATCTTTTATGTGCACTATATATACATAATTATTTGCATGTGTCTCCCTCATTAGGATGTGATCTTCCTTAAGTCAGGGACCATGTTTTGGCCTTTCCCACTTACTAAGCTTGTAGGAAGTGCTTAATAAATCCTTGTTGACTGATTGACTTTAGATATGCAGACCATGGTCCAGCTATGATTTAGCCTTATATACTTGCCTGAGTCAGACACATAGAGATCAAGTGGTGATGCTGCTAGGACGAATCAGAGGCAGGATTTTAAGGTCTTCTTGGACCCAAGTGTAGTTTTCTGTCCATTATTCCCTAAGAAAATAACCTTCTGGGGAAGATGTACCAATCTGAGTTTTCAAGCTGCTACTGTCAGCCTCTTGTTTGCTCTGTGACCTTTGCATCCACAGACACAGTAATTAAAATATCTTTACCTGTCATTTTATCTGCAACTTTCAATAATTCCTCCTAGCATATTTCACAGACTTGTCCTTGTCTCAATTAAGAACTAATGCTTACAAAGCATCCCTCTGTAAATGATTTCATAGCATCTCCCAATGCATAGATCTATTTGACCTCAAAACTATCCTGTAATATTGGTAGGGACAAATGTCTGGGAATAAGTTTGGAAAACAAACTATGAGAAATTAGTTCTATGCTCATCATTGGCAAGCTATGAGAAGCAATATGGCATGAAGTATAATGTTGTGTTAAGATCCAGGAGACCTAGGTTCAAATCCTGCTAGTGTTGTGATGATGGGTCAGTTATATAACTTCTTAGAGCTCCACTTTCCTCCTCAGTAAAACAGAAATGATAACAATGACACTGCATACCTCCCACATGGTTGTCGTGAGGCAAGCACTTTCAAAACCTTAAAATGCTATATTGATATGAATTTTTCAAGAGTAAATTTTACATTATATGTATTGAGATTAATATACTATGGAATCAAAATGAGATATGCTTGGGGCAGCTAGGTTGCACAGTGGTTAGAGCACTGGCTCCGAACACAGGAGGACCTGAGTTCAAATCTGGCCTCAAACCAAACACTTGACACTTATTAACTGTGTGATCCTGAGGTTAAGTCACTTAACCCCAATTGCCTAAAAAAAAAAAAGAGAGAGATATGCTTGACTCAGGCTTTCCTCCTCAACTTCTGCTCTCATATTAGATTACTTCAACACAAATCTATAATATATATATATATATATTTTCCTTAACTAAGAAGTTAAGGTATTTGAGGGAATATCAATATACAAATATAAATTTTACATATATGTGTATGTATGTGTGTATATATATACATATACATATCTATATCTATCTTTATCTCTCTCTATGTGTGTGTATATAAATACGTTGCCCCCTTCATTGTATCATTTATCTTGTCCTACCAAGCTTAAGCTTTGGTAGTTTGTGAAACACACTTTCACAGATATTTTAGTGAGGGAGATTGCCTGATATAAACAAGTAATGAGAGCAGTGAGAAAGATTTATGTATCAAGTTATGCGCTCCTTTTAAGATCCAGTCAATGTATACTGGAGGAGAGGACCGTAATACTATGATGAGAAGAGAAGCCTAGGCCTCCGCCCTGCATTCTGCATTCTTCCCACAATTCCACTATGTGTTACTATTCAATAAACATCTATTGATCTTTGACTGACTACTCACTGATTTCTGCCTTTGCTCTTATTTACATACTACTGAATGAACCAAGAGAATTATTGAAACCATGGTAACTGGGACCCCTACAAATTTGTGGTACATAATCTCAACTGGACAATCACTATGACAAGGCATTCTTTTCATACCTCCCTAATTGATTCGTTATCTTAGTCAGCTTTTCTAAATTTTTTCATCCTGTCTCAAGCTTCCTCTTCACCCTCTCAACTGAGAACCTTGTGGAATATTTCACTGGAACAAATTGAGGCCATTCATGAGAGTTCCTTCTTCTTCCCTCCTCTTCATCGTATGTCACTCAGTTATTTTCTGTCATTATCTCCTCCTTTGCCCCTGTCTCACATGAAGAGGTATGCCAAGGCAAACCCCTTTCATGTATATATGATACCATTCCATGGCATCTTCTCCAGCAGATTTCCCTCTTGTTCATCTCTATTTCATCACTAATCTTAAGTCTATTTCTAACTACTGGTTCCTTGCTGCCAACAAACCCACCCATGTCTCCTCCGTCTCCTCCCCACCAAACTTTACTGTATCCCTCCATCAAAAAGCCAACGATTGTCCCATATCTCTCCTGCCTTTTGAGGTGAAATTCCTTGAGAAGACTTTCTATGATCACTGTCTCCATTTTTTTCCCTTTCATTCTCTTCATAATTATATTCAGTCTGGCTTCTGACTTCATTATTCAACTGAAAGTACTCTCTCTACAAAGTTACTAATGATTCCTTAATTGCTAAACCTAAGGGTCTTTTCTCAACCCTTATCCTTCTTTACCTCTCTGCAGTTTTAGACTCTGTTGATCAACTTGTTCTCCTTGTACTCTTGTTTTTCTAGAATTTTAGCATGTCTTTCTCTCTTGTTCTATTACTACCTTTTTAACTTCTCCTAAGTAGATCATGTCCACCAACCATGATCATCCTGTAAGAATCTGACCTAGGTACTTTTCTCTTTATACTATTTCACTTTTTGATCTCAGCTCCAATGGATTAAATTATCATCTCTATGCAAATCATTCTCAGATCTATTTGTCTACCTTAACTTCTCACCTGACCTCCAGTTTCATATATTCAGCTACTTCCTGGACATCTCAAATCGAATATATTCAAAACTGAGCCCATTATCTTTTGTCCCAAACCATTCCTTCTTCATAACTTTTCTCTTACTGTTGAGGACACTACCATCCTCTCAGTCACCAACGCTCACAACCTGGGTGTCATCTTCAATTTCTTATTCTTATTCTCCTTATTCACAGCTCCCATATCCAAATCTATTGCCAAATCCTGTTTTTACTTTTCTAATGTCTCTTGCAAATGACCACCTCTCTCTGACACTGCCAGCACCCTGGTGCAAGTCCTCATCACTACATGTCTCAAAGGACTAGTGAAATAACCTCCTGTTGATCTTTCTGCTTCAAGTCTCTCCCAACTCTAGTCCATACCTCACTTAGGAATTGTACTGATTTTTCACTGCCCCTGCACAATAAACTCCAGTGGATCCCTATCACCTCCCAAGTCAAATATAAAACTCCGTGATTGTTTTCAGAGCTCTTCATAATCTAGCCCCTTACTACCTTTCCCACCTTATTACACCCTATCTTTTCCTCCCCTTGCTCAGTGTACTATGCAATCCAGTGCCACCAGCTTCCATGCTGTTTCTCACATGAGACACTCCATTTCCCAGCTCCATGCATTTGCACTGGCTGGATTCTCTGGGTTCCTTTGAGTCCTAGTTAATACCCCACCTTTTATAAGAAGCTTTTTGCAATCCCCCTTAATGTTAGTGTATTCCCTCTTTTGATTACCTTTGAGGCGTATTGCATATCTCTTGTTTGCACATAGCTGTTTATGTTGCCTCCTACATTATATTTTGGCTTTCTTAGGAGCATTTTTTATCCTTATTTTGGATCCCCAGTATTTAGCATAGTACTTGACACATAGTAGGTGCTTAATGAAAAGTTTTTTGGATTAATTGAGATAAAGAACTGTTTATTCTGTTTGATAAAAGTTCATTTAAAAATAAAAAAAAAATCTTCTTTAGTTAACTAAGTATTGGTTGATATTCAACAGCTATCACCTTGAGATTAATCTGTCTTTTTGCATTTTCCTTTTATTCTTTGGCAAACCCTAGCATCTCTATTTGATTTGCAGCCACATTTCAGTTTGTTATTTCTGACAAAAAAAAATCTTCAAGAATATCATGATGTTTTGTTCTTCCTGACTCATTTATTTTTGAAAAATTATTACCCAAACTCGTTTCCCTCTGTACCTTCTTCATGTTCTCCCAATTCAAATCTGAATTGTCCTCCAAGCCCCTATTCATGTTCTCTGAATGCTAAGCATTCAGAGTCTGTGACAATGAGTGGAGCTTCTAGTATTTTTTCCAGACATACAGCCTATTCTCAGCTAGCCTTCATATCCATGTGTCCCATGTGCTAAATAAAAAGCAATATCTTTAATGAAACTTTAAATAGGCAACAGAAATTTTGGGAAAGACTGTCATTAGCTTCACATTAACATTTGTGTTGGGTGATGGGGGGTAATTGAAGGAGCATGGGAATCAAGAACTAGGACATTGAAGTTCTAAGTAAGGCTCTGCCAGAAACTAATGGAGGACCTTGCTCAAGCCCCTGACCTTCCCTAGGGCTTAGTGACCTCCTTTTCCATTTTGAGATTCTCACCAACTCTAAAGTGACCCAAATTTACAAAAGGGATTGGATAGAAAAAAATTTAAGAGATGGAATGACTAATCTCTTTTTCCATGAATTCATCACTCCTCAGTTTAATTCTTTCTTTAATTGCAGGTGGAGGTTTTCACAGTTAAAGCAGTGCACCTTGGTAAACTACATCAGATTATTCTTGGATTCCAGAGTTTGAAAAAAGGTACAGTGAATTCAGAATACAAAATAATTGTCTGCACATTGACTGTACAGCTTGTAATACACTAAATATATTGGAAATTTAATGAGGGGTTGTAACTTTAATTCACCACATTATTTTGATAGGTTAATTTGGTATTGTTCCTATGTAGGGATATGCAGGAGATTTTTACAAAGCCTACATCAAATCTGTCTATCACTAAGCAATGAAATAAATATAATGGGGTGTTAAGGGAAGCACATTCATTCTATACTAATCTGAAAGTCTTATAAATCTCATTATGAAATCTGGTCCATTTCACCCCCCCCCCAATCTTTTGACAAAGCAAAATAGCATCAAATTGTAGTAGAGTAGCCTCATAAGATGGTTTTGTTTGATGAAATGTCCTAGTAGGCTTTTATAAAGCCTGTTTGTAACTCTTTTAAAAAATAACCCATGTTTCTCAAAGGAAGAATATGCTTCAAAGAATTGAGAATTTATGTAGGTCTCAGAGGTTGCTGACTCTGTGCACAACACATACACAGAGTTGTGTAACTTTGGATTCTAGACTGCCAGATTCAGGCCTCCTTACTGACCTTCCTTTAACAGTTATAAAAATTATCAGCATAGAATAATGGATATTCTTTGTGTCATTCACTGAAAGAACAGAGAAGGGAAAATGGTAAAAATGTGAAGTTACTTGAAATTGCTGATTACCCTTTCTAGGCCCTACCACTTAAATCTGCTAGTGTTTTATATTCATAGTTTTGAGAGAAAGGGGGCAATTAGGTGGCACAGTGGATAGAGGGCCAGCCCTGGAGTCAGGAAACCTCATTTTCTGAGTTCACATCTGCAGACACATACTAGCTGTGTGACCCTGGGCAAGTCACTTAACCCTGTTTGACTCAGTTCCTCTTCTGTAAAATGAGCAGGAGAAAAAAATGGCAAACAACTCTAGGATCTTTGCCAAGAAATCCCCAAATGGGGGTCACAAAGAGTCAGACATGACTGAAAATGACTGAACTACAAAAATGAGAGAATGGACACCTAGAATTAAAAAAAAAATCATTCTAACGAATTTACTGTCCCTCATCTTCCCATATCCAATATGTTGCCAAGACCTATTGATTTTACCTTTGTAACATCTCTCACCTAAAGCCTCTTCTCTCCTCTGATCATCCCTAATACTTTGTTCAGTGTTTATCAAATAGTAGGTGCTTACTAAATGTTTAATTACTAACTGAATATTAAACTCACTGTACTTTGCTTTATCAGAATTGGCATTTAGGATACACAGGTTATATTTCCAGTTCTGACATTTAATTTCTGTGACTTTAGCTTAATCATTTTAACTTTGTCCTCTGTTTAGAAACATAAATGTGTAATGGAGGAATGAATATAATCACAAAGACTGGACTTATTGGTCAGTCACACATTATATATGTGTGTGTATGTGTATGTGTATATGTGTGTAAGCACATATATGTATACATGAGAGACAGGGGTGAGAGGTGACACTGGCACTTGATTAGAGGATCCTTCCCTCCCCAAATTCATTTACATACATGTACTTATACATATATATGTATATGTATATATGTATATATATGCACACACATAAGTGTACATACCTGCATCTAAAATATGTATACATAGTGCACATACATATGCAATATGTCGCTAATGTGTATACATGCATGTGCATTTATAATACAACACACATATACATACATACATACATATATATGAGAAAGAGTCAGTCACAAGGGTAGTAAAAAGTAGAGCTGAAAATATAATCTATGCATTCTGAATTAAAATTCTGACAAAGCAAGATGCCTTTAGATTTATATAAAAGTAAATTCATTTAAAATTATGTCTGTTTATAGATATTAGTTCTTGTGTAACTGTGAATATGAAACACTGATAGGTTTAAGTGGTAAGGCTTGGTAATTGGCAATATCAAGAATCTTGACATTTTTACCACTTTTTCCATTTTAAAAAATGTCAGGCAAGGATAAAAAGAAAACCCATTTGTCTCTTTAGGATGAATACACATATAATATACATGTGTTTATCCATATGTATTATAAGCATAGATAAACTATTGTGCTTTCTTTGTGTTCTTTACTAGAATGACAAATAGGGAAAAGGACAATGTAATGTATAGGGAAAAAGCGGTGGTTTGGACCCATGATCCTATGATTTTATCAATGTGGAAAATTTCCTAATGTAGAAACTTTCTCCACCAAAGAAGATCTTCAGTTTGTCTATAACTGACAATCTGAGTTGCCTGTGACACTGAATTTAGGTAACTTGCCCATAATTACATGGTTCTGTATCAGAGGAGAGAGACCTCAAATCCTGATCTTCTTGTCCTCAAGGCTGACTCTCCCTGCACTAGCTTTCCCTATGCTATCATGTTGTCTCCTTTAGATATCCCATAATTTGTTAAAAAATAATTCTACTGCATCTGTTTAAAGAAAAATTGTTAAAATCACACAACATATGCTACTTCAACTAGGTTCCTCCCTAACAAAAGGTTGTCACATCTCTTTAGTGGCCCAAAGAAATAGCAGTGCTGATATAGTTACAATAAATTTCCTACAAGGATTACTAAGTCATTATATTACACCAAAATTCCATTACAATCATTTATTTCTTTCTCCCACCCCACCTTTAAAGTTCCTAATTGTATGCTAAGTTCTCACTTGCTAATTTACTATGCTCTTTGCAATGTCTTCAGGGAGCTGAAGAGAGAGGATCTGAAATACATCTCATTTATTCTTGACTCATATTTCAACTCCTATTATCTTTTGCTACTTTACACATCCTGAACTCTGTACAATGCCCACAAAAGCAAAACTAACCCAGTGGTCCATGGACTTGGAGGTGTGTGCCTTAGTTTCTCCCCGATTGCTGTCAGAACATATCTTTTTAAATTTCCTTTTATTGATTCACTTCTGAAAAGCTGAAAGGCTAGGCATCACTTCTCTGAGATAAGGAATGTGATTTCTACCAAAGTATTCATTATACAAAAAATAATATGCTACAATGAAAATTTATGAACGTATGGGTTGCTGTGGTACAAAGGACTTCGATTTCTTCTGAGAGAGGTGATATGCTGTGCAAATATAAAAAAGGTCTTAAAAATGTAGATTGCTAAGCCATGATTTTTGACTTTTTATTTCAAGCATTGTGTATGACCTATTGAATTTACTGAATGATGAAGCCATTGTCCTAGAAAGTAATAATATGACAAATATACCCTCCAATGTACCAATGATGCCTTTTTGAAAAGAAAATGATTAATTTGGGCACTGGTTGCTATTATTTCTGGACAATTGTTTCCCAGCAAATCTTATTGGACTTTTTAAATTCCTGACATTCGCCATCATAATTTTGGCAGATGATACTATTTGTTTGTCGTAAAGAAGATACTTCCTCTTTTTTTAATTAGAGAAAATTAAAGCCTTAATCATTTGTCATGTAATGTGAAGAAGCTTTCCCAGGTTAGGATTTACCCAGACATGTTGAGAAGTGTGACCTACAGTTGGGTATCATCTAGTACAATGGAACTCACAGTGTTGTTTTCAGCAAGGCTATATGATGCCTGTTTTCTTAGACTTTTTTTATCCCTAAAAATTAATTTTCTTTTTCTTTTGCCTATCTCCTCTCAAACTTGTCACAACCATGCATTTATGATATAATTCAATTTTTAAAAAGTCATTCTTTTACAAATTTTCTATTCTTTTTATGTTATTTAGTTCAGCTCAATAAATGTCTCTTACACACAAGCTATGTGCAGTAAAAACATTAGCTAGGCACTTAGGTATACAATGATGAAACAAAACAGGATTTACACAAGTGAAGCATAAGATCTGAGAGTTGTACAAATCATAATAAGAGTGCATACAGAAATAAGATCAGGCAGCATAGTGTAGTGGATAGGGAACTGGGTTTGGAGTTAGAAGGCAGAAGACCTTAATTCAAATCCTGGCCCTTCAGCACCACCAAGTCACTAAATTTTCTGGGCCTCAAATCCTCACCTTTAAAATAAAGAAATAGGGCTGTGACTGCATGTTGCTTCCATCTCTTAAATTTTCGTAAATCAGAGTAGACTAAGAAATTCAATAAGGGAAAGAGTAGATTTTATTATCTCCAAAGAGGCTGTAAGATTGTTCTACAAAATTAAAAATAACTAGTTTTTAAAAGTGAAAAGTTTTCACTTTGAAAAATGAAAAATTCCATCATACAGGTTATTCTATTGACTTGCTGATTAATAATGAATAAATGTTTGTTCTTTGACTGTTAGAGCTGGGACGTATCTTAAAGATCATTCAGTTTAACCCTTTTATTTTATGGATGAGGAATCCGAGATAGTAGAGTGGTAGGGATATGTCCAAGGTCATATTCCTAGTTAATAGCAGAGCCAGGAGGGAGATCTGACTGACCTTTGACCAACTATGACCAAAATTACTGATGGTTAACCAAATTCAAGTTTTAAAACATAGAATCAAATGATTAAATTTATTTATGTCTAGAAATACAGACTTAATTAGGAGCTCTCTTTAACACAATTTGTCTATAACTGACAATCTGAGTTGCCTGTGACACTGAATTTAGGTAACTTGCCCATAATTACATGGTTCTGCATCAGAGGAGAGAGACCTCAAACTCTGATCTTCTTGTCCTCAAGGCTGACTTTCCCTGGACTAGCTTTCCCTATGCTATCATGTTGTCTCCCTTAGATATCCCATAATTTGTTAAAAAATAACTAAATAGCTAACTAAATAACTAAATAAATAGTGTCTTCTTAGCATTATGAGGGAGTGAACAAATCTTCCATTTATTTTTTAAAAAATTAATATTTATTTATTTTTAACATTCTTTTCTTTTTAAATTTTGAGTTCCAAATTCTCTCCCTCCCTCCTACCCCTCCCCCATCCACTGAAAAGGCAAATAATACAATGCCAATTAAACATGCAAAAATCATGTAAAATATTTCTATATTAGCTATATTTTTAAAAAGTAAGAAAATAAATGCTTCAATATGCAGAGTTCATCAGTTCTCTCTCTGAAAGTGGATAACATTTTTCATCAGGAGTCCTTTGGAGTTGTCTTGAATCATTGTACTGATCAGAGTAGCTAAGTCTTTCATAGTTGATCATCATTACAACATTGCTGTTACTGTGTACAATGATCTGCCGGTTCACTTCACTTTGCATTGTATTCATATAGATCTTGCCATGTTTTTTTTTTTAATGAAACCATCCCCCTCATCATTTTTTATCACACAATAGTATTCAATCACAATCATATGCCACACCTTGTTCAGCCATTCTCCAATCGATGACATCCCTTAGATTTCCAATATTATCCACCACAAAAAGAGATGCTATAAACATTTTTATACATGTAGGTCTTTTCCTTTTTTCTTTTATCTCTTTGGGATATAAACCTAGTAGTGGTATTGCTGGGTCAGAGGGTATGCAGTTTTATAGCCCTCTGGGCAGAATTTCAAATTGCTCTCCAGGATGACTGGAACAATTCACAAGTCCACCAACAGTGCATTAATGTCCCACTTTTTCCACCTCCCCTCCAACATTTGATATTTTCCTTTTCTGTCGTTTTAGCCAATCTGATATGTATGAGGTGGTATTGATGGGGTATGGGCCCAAGCTGAGACCTTTGCCCCTTGCTCCAAAAAAGAATTTGGCTCTCATTTGTCTATGGGCCCCAGAAAACCCTTATGCTTCATTCAACTGGCCTTTCCTTATCTCTTATCCTTATTCTGATCTTTCCCTAAGGAAGAAGCCTAGTCTTTGATCCTACCTTTGATTTTATCAACCTCTTTCTTCCAGTTTTTTGTTACCCTGATAAAAGCCTAGTCCTTCATTGTCTATTCTCGGGTGACCCTACCCAGATACTCCCATTCTCCCTAAACTCCTTCCCCAGTCACCCAGATCCTTTTCCCAGCTTCTCCTTTAGTCACCCAAAATTACTTGAGTAGTATATAAGATCCACCCTAGCCCCCATTTAAATGCTGAGACTTTCTCATGTCTGCTCATCCTTATGGGCATCACTAATGTTCAGATTCCTTAAGAATCTGACCTGTATGGTTTATCTCTAATAAACTTTTCTCTGGCTGAAAGATTTGGGTTGAATTCATTTAGGCAGAGCCCGGGTGTCATGATCTCAGGGTCGCAGCACCCCTAAATCTCTAGACCTCAGCACCTCAGAGTTGTTTTAAATTGTATTTCTCTAATCAATGGTGATTAAAAGCCTTTTCATATGGCTTTAGATACCTTTGATTTCTTCTTCTGAAAATTGCCTGATCATATTCTTTGATCACATATCAGTTCAGGAATGGCTCTTATTATTTTTATATTTGACTCAGTTTTATGTTAAGTATATATTAGAGAAATGAGGTGTTTATGAGAGAATCATGCTGCAAAGTTTTTTTTTTATATTACTTCATTGTCTCTGGTACCTTTCAGCAAAATGTAGTTTCCCTGATGATCTCTTTCAATTAGTTCTATTTTTGCTTTTGCTATGTCTAAGGTCATGATTGCTGCCTCCACCTTTTTTACTTCAGCTGAAGCATATTAGATTCTGCTCCAGCCCTTTATTTTAACTCTGTTTGTATCTTTCTCTTCCATTTATTTTAATCAGATAATTGGTTTTTGGATGAAGTTATTATAAAGGAAGGACACACCTCTGTCATCACTCATATCTTTGCTCATCAAAACTGGATCAGCAAGCGTTCAGAAAAAGGATTTAGTGAAGTTATAATTCCACTGAAAGGTAATACCAGTTTTGTTATTTGGATGCCACTATGCCATTGCTCAATCTAGAAAAGAATATAATAGTTTCCATTATGCCAATAATTCACCTACAATCCTTGTAGGTCTAAATAGTGCTTCAAATTTCCATATGAACAGGATTCATTAACAAGGATTCAAAGGTTAATTCACTAAAAAATAAATGAAAAGAATAAATTTAGAGGAATATTACCTTGAACTTTGTGTTTTATGTTGTTTCCATACTGTGGAAATAAAAATATCAAGAAAGAAATAAAATGGTGCTTGCAGGTTTAGGTGTTGGTCTGAAAACAATTTATCAAATGTTGCTATGATATTCAGAGGAGGTTCCTGAATATGGTTATCTACCAATGGACTCTGTATAAACTTAAAATAAAGATAATTTGAAGATCAAAATAGTAGAGCTGGATCTCTACCCATTCCCCTCTATTAAAATAACAGAATCTCAGAATATTAGACCTAAAGGAGATGATATTGTCTATCTGCTTTTATTTACAGTTGGGACTGAAGTTGAAAAATATCATAGAAAGGAAGACAAATGATTGAAAATAAGACAGGTATATACTTATATATCTGGTCCACAGACTGAGATCCTGTAACTCAATCCACTGTGACAAAGTTCATGAACATTTTTGTCCTGTTTTGGACTACAGTTTGGCATTAAAATAAACAAAATTAAATAAAAATTAAATTCAATAAAAGGTTATAGAGGCATAGTAAAAAGTAACAGAGATCATCTATTCCAAACCTGTCTTCTTATAGGTGAGGTCACTGAGGTCTTTAGAAGTTAAAGGCTTGTTTAAGGTCCCGAAGCTAGTTGGTGATGGATGTGGGTGCTAGAAATCAGACCTTCTAACACTTAATGTCAAAAGTAAGCTGGCGGTGTAGGTATTCAACATAACCAAGTCCTTATAAATGAGTCCCTATTAGTGACTAATTTTCACATCTTCTTTCTATAATATTATTTATGAAAAAAAAGTACAGTAATGTTCCTTACAATTTCATATATTCTAAAACACAAGATCTATTATATGTATTGTCATTTTAACAAGAATTTGATAGTTTTGCTTATGTGCAATTATGAATTCATTCAACACATAATAAGATGTAATGTAATGTAATTAGAAATTATGTATAATACATGATACTAGTGGAAAGCAAAATTAGCTCCAAACTTATAATTCAACTTCAAATTATATTTTCATAGAGCTTTTTCTCATAAGATAACTGACAGCTGTCTACTGTTCATTAAAAATTACTTCAAAGCCTAGTATCCTATGAGTAAAATGATATAATCTAGGGGAAGGATTGTAAATTAGTCAACCCATTATTTTTCAAGAAATTTGTGAACAATACAATATAGTTCTTTCAATAATGCAGGTGGGGACACATTGCTAATATTATAAATATTGTTTAAAATTCTCAAATTCTTAAATGAAAGCAAGATGAACATTCAAAAATAGAAAATTCTCTACCTCCCCTGGGTTACAATTGGGAATATTGCTGAATTGACCCTATGTATTTCTGTTGTATGAAAACATCCTAAGTGCCTGGTTTTTATTAATGAGGAATTCTCAGAGGAATTAGGCACCATCCAAACCATTGCTTCCTAAACCCCTTATTTCTTCATTATCATAACTCTAAGAGCTTTTATGTATTTTCTTGTTTGATTTTTGCAACAATCTTGTGGAGTAGATAGTGGAAGTATAATCATTTATATTTTCCCAATGAGAAAATTGAAACATTAAATAACTGTTCCCAAATCATACAATTAATTAGTCAAGAATCCAAAAAAAAAAAAAAAGAATTCAAGGTTCTTTTATTACCCCATACTAGTTCACTCACTTGCTCAGAAGGCTCTTCTGGCTCCTTAGATTGGCATTCAAGGACCACCGTAGCCCAACCCTACCCTGCCTAGCCAGCTTTATCTATTTCTTCCCTCTGTGAACCTTTTGCTCCAGCCAGGTCATTTATGAGACTGTTTGCCTCATAAAAACTCCATATGTGGTCTCCACTTCAAGGCTTTACTTGACCTATTTCACTCCCTTTTGTTAATCCAAATTCTTGCTATTTATTTATGGCCTATCTCTAGTCCTGTCTCTTCTAGAAGGCCCTTTTCAAACACCATAGACCCCATTGATTTCTCCCTTCTGTGAAATTCTAGAGTGCATTTTGTCTGAAAGGCCAGTTTTGTCCCTTAATAATGTGATAACTTGCATGATTACTCTTTCATGTGTGTTTTACACATATAGCAGGTACTCCATAAAGAATGATGAAGCTTTTATTTAGTGTGTACTATGTGCCAAGTGCTGTGCTAAGAACTGGGGATACAAGTACAAGCCACTAAGTCAGTCCTTGCCCTCAAGGAACTTACTCTCTAAGGCGGGGAGAAGATAACGCAGAAAGGGGGAGACAGTGAGGGAAATAGGCACACAAAGGCACAGTTTGGAAGTGTTCTACAAGTGATGTGGAGGTCTGGTTCTGTGGAAGATACAGTGAAAGAACATTATTCAGAAACCAAAGTCCCAAAGGCAGAGTCTAGGTTTGGGTGAGAGGAGTATAAGAAGGATACATTTTAAATGAGTGGGTGTGATTTTGGGTTAAGTAGCTTCAAAATTGGAAATGCTTCACTTAAATAGAATTTATGCATCTGTCTAATAAAGATTAGAGTACTTTGAGTTTTTCAAAGCTTCTTTTCATTTGCCCCTCACAACAGCACTATGTGTTAAGTTGTGTTAAGTGCAATAAGTATTTTTTTCTCATTTTATAAATGAATGAACTGAGGATTTGAGAGGTTAAGTTTTTTGTCATACTGTTAAAAATTTCAGAGGCAATATTTGAACCCAGGTCTCTCCTGACTCACTCTCTCTCTCGCTCTCTCATTTTTTTTTAAATTATAGAGGTAAACGTGATCCCTGCAGTGATAAAAGACTCCCAGGTTACCAGCAGAGGTCAGTGGCAAATGTGGCTCTCTGCATCTCCCCTACCAGAAAACATTCCAGATATTCAATTGATTGTATTTGGAATGAGAGGAAAATCTCCTGTACAGAAAATTAAGAACTTGAAAAATGATCCATTTCTGGTAAGTTTACATTAAGATTACCTTTTGTTTATGTCTTACTGGTCTTTCAAATAGTATTTTAATTGGTTGACTGAAAAATAATAACAATGGCATTCAGACTGTCTCTTGTAATTTGCTGTGTCAATTTCACTTACTTGATAAATTTAAAATCACTGAAAAACATGAAGAAATCCTGTAGAGAAATGTGGTCAGTAAAACTTCCAGAATGCTTTTTCAGACATTAAAGGATACAGAAAAATGCAAAATGTCTAAAAATTGTTTTGAATCATTCTGCCAAATCTCAGACACTACCATATCTTGGCTGCCTTCTTGATAATTCAGTCTAGGTGCTTGAAGTTTCCCCCCCAAAGGATGGAGCTTTCTAATGCTTTAGCAAGAGTGTTATAAGGAACTATCACTGCTCATGTGCCATCCTTTTTAGAGATTTCCAGAGACATAAAAAGCATTTAATTATGTTATGGAAAGATCAGTATTCATAAAGTCTTTCTGTTAACTCTAATTTTGTTATTTCATAGTTGCACCTTGATGACATTGGTGACATCACAAAAGTTTCTTTTATATTGCTTGATTCATGTTTGAAGAAAGGAATTAAGCTACACAAGGTACTCTTCTGTGCTGTATATAAGTAATATTTAAATTATTGTAAGAAACATATTCTTTGAATCAAACATTTTTGGAATATTAAATTCTGCATAACTTAGAAATAAATCATTTTCCCAGTAAACATTATTCTGTTTCCAAAGGTGAGTAAGATGTTATAAATCTATGGAGAAAAAGAAAGGCCCTTAGAGGCCTGCATCATTACCTGTCAAGGAAAATACCTCTAATTAAAATTCATGGTCAGGGGTTTGGACTAGAGGGTCAATGAGTTCCCTTCCAGTCCTACATTTTTAAACTGTGATCCTACGACATACAACCCCAAAAGGAGGTGAGATCTAGACATGGAGTATGATGAGAGAGAACATACAGGTTACGCTGAGGCCAGAGCTCTATTCTCTCTCAGGAGCTTTTGCTGATAGGAGAAGGTATTTCCTAGACTACCTCTAAGTACAAGAATATTCTGATGGAGAAAAAATCAAGGATCTCAGGGGCAATGTTAAGGCATTGTGCCTATTCTGCTGCTGGCACCTTCCCTTTTTCTCCCTGTTCATGATGCTGTTTATAGAAGAAGTGTGTAGAGTTTGAAGAAGCTATTTTACCCTCCAAACATAAGAAAGTATATTATTAACACGTGCCAGGCTATGAATTGGAGAACTGAGTGAAATTATAGACACTATTTGAAGTGGAATTTTTACCTGGATATTATCATCTTTCTGGCTTCCATCAATCCCATTCCCATACAAATGTTCTATTTTCCTATCTATTCTGTCTTCTTTTCTCCCTATTTTACCTTTTGTGAGTTATATGCCATTAACATTTATAGAGTGTTCATTGTGTCTAGGATTTTGTGCCACAGCTGTCTATATCACTCATTTGGGACTCAATTTTTGTTTTAATCTTTATTTTTTTGTATTGCTCCACTCTAATGTGAGAATGGTTAGTCTTCCTAACTAGATTATAAATATGCCATACTCCTTGGCATTACTCCCATAATGTAGAATGATGTTATTCAAATAATAGGCACTAAACTAATAAAGACCTCATTGCCTTTTCTCTCACTATTCCCCATCTCATCCTTTCTTTTTCATTTCTCCTTTTCTGAGTATGAATGTCCTTTTCAATATCATGAAAATCCTGCCACACTTAGTTTTTGGATAGAAGATGAATATGAAACATTTGACTTCATGAAATAAAAATTACTGAACTAGAAGGAAGGGATGATTATTTTTGTTCTCATACTAATCTTCATTAGGGATTTGTTGTTAATTCTTGTTCTTGAGGAGAAAAATTAGAATAGGAGTACTGAAAAGATTATATTGAAGGAAAAGATCCTACAAAGTTGAGAATAACTGAACTGAGTTTTTATTTATTTAAAAAAAATCAATTATGTCTAGGCATTTCTTTTGAGAAAACCAGATTTGCCCAAAGAATTTTGAAATACAAATGCATGGAACAAAATGTAGTTAAGACAAGTCAATAGTCATTAGCATAGAGCTCAATAATGTGTTACATTTTGAAAAGAGGGCTATTTCTTTGGAGTTTAACCTTGTTTAAGAGTCTCCAAGTGAAAAAAAGGAGACAAATTCTGACTCTGGATCTTTGAAAAAGAAAGAGTTTAAGGGGCAGCTAGGAGGCACAGTGGATAGAGCACCGGCCCTGAATTCAGGAGGACCTGAGTTTAAATTCGGCCTCAGACACATAACACTTACAAGCTGTGTGACCCTGGGCAAGTCACTTAACCCTCTTGCCTAGTCAAAAAAAAAAAAGAGTTTGCAGAGCAGAAAGGGGAGGCATCAGACCTGGAATAGATTAGTTCTTGTAAGTGGGGTATCACAGGTGAAGGCTATTTATATTATAGGGATGAGAGTGAGAGCACTTCAATCCTTACCCTTAATGACATAGTAATAAAATCAAAACAAAGTAGGGATGTGCCCCTTAGGGCAGTGGAAGGAACTGGGTCTGAGATGAACAGTGAAGTTGAAAAGAAGTCTGCATTAAGCCACAAAATAAAAAAATAAACTGAGGCTGATACATGTTTTTAAAGGGTTTGGGGAAACTTAGTGATTTAGGTCTATGTTGGGAGGGAAGGATGAGATCATGTTTGTCTAAGTAATACAACCTGATACATAGTTATATAGAAAAAGGAATGGGGAGAGGAACATAAAGAAGGGGTAATGGGAAGACTAGGCCTTCATTGGTCTGACTTCCCCTTACACTGAAAAACACACTTAGCAAGAATATTGTGAGTGTTAGTTACCCAGAAAACATTAAATTCAAACAGCAGAAGTGGTAAATATGATCTCAGATAAGGAAAAAGTAAAAATAGATATGGTTAAAGACATGGTCAACAGGCATGCAAGAAAATTTTATATATATAATATATATATATATATATATATATATATATATATATACACATATATAAAATCTAAATGCAAAAGGGAAAGTCTAACTGAAACCAATCAGGAAAGAATGGGGAGTCTGATGCTACTGTATTTCAAAGTATATTATTAAGCAGTTATTATCAAGACTATCTTCTACTGGATTTTGAAAAAAAAATTATTGATCAGTACAAGAAGCTACATAAACAGTACCTAGAAACATATTCAGATAGAAGTCAGTGTTTGCAAAACTCAAGAACACAAACTCCTAGGGAAAGAAGTTTTTTATTTGACAAGCGTAGATGGAAAATGGTCTGGCAAAAAATAGAGTTCACTTAGCATCTCTTTAATAACATATAAATTTAAAGTACATGAATATTCTCAATATAAAACATTGTACCATAAAACAAATTAAAGTAGGATCCAAAGTTACACGTTGCACAATTACAAATGGAGGTTTTTTTTAAATAATAAGGCAAGTAATAGAAAAAAAATCATCAAAGACAAAGTAGCCAATTTGGTTTTATTTTAAACAATTGGGAAAAGCTTTTGCAATCTGTATAGATAGACTAAGAGATGCAATATAGTTTGGAAAAACCTGAATTAAATATCTCTAATAGAATCATTCTCTCCAAAAGGTAATTGAAATAAATATGTAAGAATAAACACCATCCTCCAGCAGACAAGTAGTTAAAGGATGTAAAAAAAAGTTTAAAAAGTAATTCAATCAATAACTATCTGAAAAATGCTCAAAATCAATACGAATCAGTGATATAAAATTTAATTCCATAAGCACTTATTAATTACCTAAGTAGATGATACTGTGCTAGGTGCTGGTAATACAAAGATTTTTTTAAGAGAATACTAATGAATCTTAGTAATCATAAAATATTACCTTATCACCATAAAAATAACAAAGAAGCTAAAAGATAAGAAAACTCATTGTTGGAGGGGGTAAGGTAGAAGTTTTAAAACTTTTTGATCTCAAGACCCTTTTATACTGTTAAAAGTTACTGTGGAGCCCAAAGAACTATTAAGTGGATTATGTCTATCCATTTAGAAATTAAAACATAAAATTTAAAGTATTGTTAATTTATTTAAAATAACAATAATAAACCTATCATGTGTTGACATAAATAGCATGTTTTTATGAAAAATATTTAAAATAATTTTCCAAAACAAAAAAAATTTCGTGAGAATTGTGGCATTACATTGTCTTACATATTTTTCAAATCTCCTTAATGTTTGGCTTATAGAAGACAGATATGAGGGTTGCCTCATATCTGCTTCTGCATTTAATCTGTTGAAATACTTTGTTTTAATTGTATATGAAGAAAATTCAGTCTCACACAGATATATAGTTGTCAAAGAGAAGTGTTTTAATATGGAAATAGAATGTTAGCACTATTATGAAAATTAATTTAACTTCAAGGAACCCCCCCTACCCCTGCAAAGGGTCTCAGAAATCTCTAGAATTCCACATGCTATATACTATGAGAACTGCTGGACTATGGAACTAAAAGTATGCTAATTCAGTGCTCGTGGATGGGTGAATGGATTCAACCATTCTGGAAAACAATTTGGCAATATATAAGCAGATAAAATCAAGTGTTTGCTGTATCAGTGTTTCTTGAGTTTTTACTTACTCAGTGTTGAAAACACTAATAGTTTCAATACTGTAGATATTTGAATGATCAAAATCTCTGTCCACTGAATAGAAATGAATTCATTAATAAGACCTGAATTCTTTTCTGTTGCTGGCAGCTCCGGCTCAAAGACATGGATACGAAGGAAGAGCTGGCCTTTTATGTGGCAGACCGGTGGCTGTTTGATGAAGATGGATCAGAAAGCGTGACGGAGCTAGCGGCAGTCAGGCCAGAAAAAGAACCCCTAAGAGGTATTGTTGCTAAAATAAGAAATAACCCTCCAAATGTTTTTATGAAATGTTTTATTAGGTTGTTCATTTCACATTAAAGGGAATCTAATCATGGAGAAATCTCTTATCAGTCACAAGGACTTTCGATGTGCCTTGGTCTTACTCCTACTTATAAGATTAGGGTTAAAAATTATAACATCAAAGAGCATGAACCGGAAGGGGCTTTCAGGGTCATCTTGTACAACTCCCTCATTTCAGAGATGACAAAATTCAGGTTCAGAGAAATCCACTGATTTGCCCAAAGTCACCCAGGTCATAAGTGGCAGAATTGGGATTTGAACACAGTAACCTTCAATTCCAAATCTAGCACACTTTCCACTATGGCTAGCAATATGCATATCAATTTACTAACTTAAGAGAAATAATTTTATTTATTCATTTTAAATGTGAGGAGAGGGCTCTGTGTTTGGTTTTTAATGCTCCGTTGTGGTAGAATTTCCTTTTAGCATAGTAAGTTTTTTAATGGTTACTATGTTTTATAATTTAAACTTAAATGAAAATTCCAAATCTGAATCTAGAAAAATGTTGATGCATATAATAGCCAGTATTCATATAGCACTTTAAGATTTGCAAAGTACTTCACAAATATTTCATTTGATCCTTACAACAAACCTGGGATGTAGGTGCAATTATTATTTCTGTCTTACAGATGATGAAGCTGAGGCAGGTAGAGGTTAAGTGACTTGCCCAGGATTACATATCTAGGAAGTGTCTGAGGTCAAATTTGAACTCAAGTCTTCCTGACTCCTGGTCCAGCAGCCTATCCACTTGTTTACCTAGCTGCACCTCAAAATCTTCAATTTATATTTCTCTCTCTCTCTGGATGTGTTGTAAAAAATGAGAAGTTGGTTTTTATGCCAATTCTGATTAATTCTTTAGTTACATATATGTACATATATATGTATATACATACATATACACATACATATATATATACATACATACATATATACAGATACACACATATATGGCAATCTTTATCACCAAGGCATGTGGAAATGGTTGGGCAAAGACACTTAGCATCTTTTTTGTCCCAGACCCAGAAGGTTGGTGAAGTTGGTGAAAGGTTTCATAACTCTTTTTTTTTCTACAGTTAACACTGCCCTTGCTAAAATATTTTTGTCATGCTGCCTAAAGGAGCATGTACTACCTAACAATATGCTGTCATCTAGACATCATGGTAGATGATAATTATTGCTATCAGTGGGAAATGCTAATGTATATTGAAGGGAAGAGTTGAGCCACTTCCCTAGACCACATTAATTGGTAGTGGCAGCAATTATCTCACTGAGAGCCTAATACCCAGTGCTACTGATTTGGAACAGACATAGGAATCTCCCATTGTGGTTCTTTCTCTCCTTGTTCATAAAATTCCAGAGCAGATGAGGAAACATTAACTCAATTTAAAAGCTATAATTAATATGAAGAGAACTTACTTAGATAATAGCTTTATTTTCCTCCTCTGAATGGAAATTAGAGTATGAGAATGGATATAAAATGTGGAATTTGGGTAACATCTGAAAATGAGAACTCCTCACCAAAGAACTCTGAGGTTTGGTGTTTCATTCTGCTATTCCTTTGGGCATTCCTCAAAGAAGGAAGACATGATAGCACCTTACATCATATTTGAGTAAAAGATGTTAGATCTTAACCTTGAGAAAATTATAGAGACTGTTTATTTTAACTTCAGTCACAACACCATAAACATAGCTGATACTCAGTAAATCTAGTTCAACTCTTTCACTTTACAGTTAGGGAAAATGAGACCCAGAGACCAGAGAAATGGTGACTTGTCCAAGGTCATGGAGGTAGCACTACTTAAATAGTAGAACCACCATTCAAACATATTTCTTCAGATTCCAAATCTAGTACTTTTCAATCTACACCACACTAGCCAAGGCCTACAGTTGTTATTTCTAACACAGTCATTTATATTAAACATTGAACTGATGAATAAAGCATTTATTTAGCACTTTTTTTCTAAAAAACACCATACTAAGCACTGGTGATACAAATAGAAAAGTAAGACAATCCCTGCTATCAAGCAGCTCACATTCTTAAGAGGGAAACAATGCATATGGAAGGTTTCAACTGCAAGTCAGATGGAAAGGTCCCATGGCCTTAGAGCACAGTGGCAAAACAAATGGTAATGCTTGAATGTCTTCTTGAATGATCATTTCCACTGAGAAAAGCATATCCATTTTTGATGCTTAACCATTTGACATTATCAAATATTTTGATAATAATAAGAACTTTGATTCCTAACTGATAGTTGGCCATCACCACCAATTGTTTTAATAGATGTGGTTGTGGCACCTGCAGGAGCTGTTGCCAGGCTCCATTTTCTCAGGGTTCCTTTCCAGGATGACTGAGGGTATTAGGTTGGAAATATTGCTATTCCAAAGTCTCTTGGGTTCAGGGTCCTTACCTTTTTCCACCAAGATCTGAGGGGAGATGGTATTCAAGGAGGTGATGGAGGTGATTCAACTCACCTGGCACATGCTCCCTTCTGAGTCCCTCTCAGGGAGCTCTACTGCTTCAGCTAGGCTGCCTTGACTACCCTTTGAGTGGCAGTTGGTTGGCAATTGGTGGTGATGGCCAACTAGAAATTTTTTCTCCTGATGATAGCTATGATGGCTGGGCTAGAAGCAAAACTGGTGGTCTGGGCAGTGCTGCCACCCCCAGGACTCTTGTGCTTATCCAACCCATTGGTGGCAGTTGAAAGGCAAATGTCACTGGTGGTAATGAGGAAGGTCCCTTCTCTGTAACATCTCATTTTAGTGATGAGGTTGGAAATAGATCTGGTGGCCTGGGGAACATGGCTATTCTTAAGACTTATAACTATCTTCACCAGGGTTGAAAGGGGAGATGAAAGCCAAGGGTAGAAGAATGGGTATTTGGCTCACCAGAGACATGCTGCCTCCTATCTTTCCCACATGCTATATTGCTAATTCAATTAGACCAACTCACCTGTACTGAGTATATATATTATTGATCCCTGGATGTGCTTTTTTGTTAAAATTTCCTTCTTTCTTTGTTTTGTTTACAGATGTGCTTTACTTAGTTAGTATCCACACAGGGATACAGCCGGCATCAGGAACTGATGTGGATATTTTTATCACAATATTTGGGGAAAATGGAGACTCTTGTCAAAGAAAACTCAGGCATTCAGGGTTAAATTCCAGTTTTGAAAGAGGCCAGGTATAGTATGAGCTAAAGGAAACAACTGTCTGTTTGTATGTACACATTTGTGTATGTACCATTGGAAACCTGCTTGCCTTTTCAAAAATGCCTTTATTTAAACAAAAAAAAGAATGATTGATTGAAGTGACTAATTTTAAAGCACAGCTTCCAATATGTAGTAGGTAAACAACAGATGTTCATTGATGATGACAAAATTATTATGGGTTTTTATCATCATCACTGTGACTATTGAGTGCAACAAAAATAGCCATTGAAAAAATGGTGGCCTAACACTGATTCAGATACAATTAGAAAAATAATGAATGATATGAACTCCTACGATAATTTGTGAGTCCACTCTTTTGAATAAAAAATGAACATGCTTTATTTTTCTTCTGATTTCTTTTTTTTAAAAAAATTCCTTTTATTTTACATTTATTTCCAGCCATAACCCCACCTCCTTACCTTCCTATGTGAAAAAATATACTTTTTAAAAAGTTCAGCAAAAACACCTAACATGTCAGCTGTGTCAGATGGCATGTGCAATATTCCATACTCAAAGTCACATACCTCTTCAATGAAAGTAGGAAAATGCATTTCTCTTCTCTGAAGCCCTTCAAATTAAGTCACTATAAATACACAATGTGTAGTTTCATTCTATTTGTCTTTCCAGTTACATTGTTATATTCATCAGGCATATTGTTTTCCAGATTCTGCTTACTTCACTTCATGTCATTCATATATCTTTCCAAGTTTCTCTGTACTCTTTATATTCATCATTTCTTATGGAGCAATAATACTCCACTATATTAATGTGCTAGTTTGCTTAGCCATCCTCCCATTAAGAGGCACCTGTTTTATTCAACTTTTTTTCCTTTAAAAATACAGTTTTTTTGATACATTGTTTTCATATCGCCTCATTTTCCAATGAATCTCTCCTCCTTTCACCTTCCTAGAGAACTGTCCCTTATAATACATAATAAAAAAAGAGAAAAAAGTTCCACATAACTAACCAACATATCAACCAAGTCTAACATTTTATGTAATATCTTGTTCCCATAGCTCCCACCTCTGCAAAGAAAGGAGGTAGTAGAATTTTTTGTATCTCTTCCTTAAGGCCAGGTTTGGTTCATAATTTTGTAGCATCCAAACTCTATTACTTTGTTGTCGTTGTTCTTTTCATTTACATTTCTGTAGTTACTGTTTTTTTTTCTGGTTCCACTGACTTTATGTTGTATCAGTTCATGTAAGTCTTTTCATCCTTCTCTGTAGTTATCATTTCATATAGCACGGGAATATTTCATTATATTCATGTACCACACCTTATTTAGTCATTTCCCAATAAATGGACATCTACCTTGTTTGCAATTCTTTGCTACTATAAAAAGTTTTGCTATAAATATGTTGGTGTTTATAGAATTTTTCTTTTTATCATTGATAAACTTGGGCCACATACTTAACAGTGTAAGCTCTGAGACTAAGTGACTAACTATTTAAATAATGTTCTTTTGGAAATTTCAAATGCATTCTGGAATGGTTAGATCAATTTTCAGGTTCACAAATAATGTGTTAATGTGCAAATCTTTCAACAAACTCTCCAACATTGACAATTACACCTTTGTCATCTTTGCCAACTTTTGGTTCTGAAGTAAAACCTCAGAGGATTTTTGATATGAATTTTTCTTATTATTGATAATTTGGAGCATTCCAAAATTCTTCCTTTGAGAATTGTTTGTATCCTTTCACCTTTTACTTCTGAGGGAACAGCTTTTATATTTCAGTATATTGACTTTCTAAATTGCATATGATATCTTTGTCAGAGATATTTGATAGAAATATTTTCCCACTAGACCACTTCCCTCCTTATCCTAGTTGCTCTAATTTTGTTTGTAGAAAAGGATTTCAGTTTCCTGTAAACTAAATTTTCCATTTTACCTTTATTCAGTACTAAGAATTTCCTCTCCCCAGCCAAATCTATGAAAGTTACCTGATCTAGTTCTTTTGCAATCCTTTTATAGTGTGACTCTTAGTATTTAGGTCACCTTTCCATTTGGGTTTATTATATTATGGGGTGTAAGATATGTTGGTCTGAACCTAATTTGAGCCAGTCTGCTTTCTAGTTTTCCTAGCAATTGTCATCAAATAAGGAGTTTTTCCTAGGTAATCCCATTTATTCTCCATGACAAAAAAGTTTTTCTATGAAGATTTTGGTAAATATCCTGTACTTGCCCTCCCTGGAGGGTATATGCCTGTAATTCAAGATTTGTGGGTAAAAGTATAAGGAAATTTTGGATCCTTTTATTTCATACAATTCCAAAATGTTTTCCAGAATTGTTTTGCCTCAGTTTTCTAAAATAAGACAGTAGAATAGAGCTGTAGGAAAGTTAAACCAAATGAACATGTTGCACTAAAATGTCTTTACATTCAACTCAATATAAGATGATGATGATGATGATGATGATGACATTGTTTATGTAGTTCTTAAAAATTTGAAAAATGTTTTATACATGTTAATTCATTTAATCCTCACAATAATCCTGTGAGTTAGGGACTTTTATTGTCACCATTGGTAGAGGAAATTTCCTCATCAAGGAGTTACCTGTATTGAAAAAAATAACGGGTCCATTTCCTAACCCTAGAAGTGTTTGAGAAAGAGAATGGACAAAAAAAAAAAGGATGGTAAGATGCTGATGGATATTTCATGTAATACTGAGTGATCCTGTGTAGGGCTATCATAAATCCACAACTCTTTTTTTTTCTCTTTCTTTTCAACTTGTAGACAGTGAGGTGACACAGTAGGTAGACAACAGGAGCTTGAAGTCAAGAAGGAATAATTTCAAATCTTATCTTTGACACTAGCTGTTATGACCTGGTCAAGTCACTTAACCTGCTTGCATTTCAGTTTGTTCATCTGCAAAATGATATAATCATGTAAAACATTTCCATTTAGTCATTTTGTACAAGATGACTTGAATAAAAAAAAAGAATGAAAGAAGGAAAGTGAAAAAAATACCATGCTTTAGTCTGTATTCAGATAGTATCAGTTCTTTCTCTGGAGGTGGATAGTATGCTTCATCTTTAGTCCTTTGGGATTGTCTTGGATCTTGTATTTCTGAGTATAGCTGAATCATTCACAGTTCTTCATCAAACAATATTGCTATTATTTTGTACAATGTTCTCCTGGTTCTGCTCATTTCACTGCATCAGTTCATATAAGTCTTTCCAGATTTTTCTGAAAACATCCTGCTTGTCACTTCTTATAACATAATAATATTCCATTACATTCATATACCACAGTTTGTTTAGCCTTTTGCCAATTGATTATTGTTCCTTTTTTTTAAAGCTATCTCTTCTATTATCTGTGCACTTTTTTAAAAGAAAAATTTTATTACAGAAGAAATGTGTGGAATAACGATTGTTTCCTAGTACTTTAGCTCTTTTGGGTTATAAGTTGGCCAATAACTATTCAAGTGTTCCAGGTAACATTTAACAAAATGCCCATGTGTGGCCATGGACAAATGTGTTAAAGTACTGTAGCCACAGCTTTCTAGAGTTCCTCTCCAGAGCATGTAGTGCTATGATTTTGGGATTGTTATGGTTCATAAGGCAGGGCTATGATACTTTAACACTGAAAAATTGGTCTATAAAACCCTAGAATTGAAGGGATATTGTATGTTGTTTAGTCCAACTCTTATACTAATCATGAAATCTATCAATCACATGGTTAATATGGCATTCACCTTTACCTTGAAGACCTCCATTCACTGGGAACTCACTACTTTAGGAGTAGCTCAATCTATTTTTAGACTTAATTTCAAGATTTCTAATTTCTCCTTATAGTTAGTTGAAATCTGTCTCCTTGTAATTTCTATAAAATTGATCTTAATTCTACCCTTGGGGCAAATGTAATTCCTCTTTTCCATTCAAATATTTGAAAACAAATACTGTCTCCACCTAAATGTTCTATTATTTGAGCTAGAAAACCATTTGATCAATCCTTGTATGACCTGGATCTTTATTGCCCTTACCATTCTGGTTGCCCTCTTCTAGAGTCTATCTTGTTTTTTTGGTGCATTTCCTGAAATGTTGTACTGAGAAGTAGACACAGTATTCCAAATGTGGACTTACCAGAGCAGAATATTGCTTATTTTAGACACTAAAATTCTGTTAATGCATTAGCTTTTTTCTTTTGAACACCAGTGACTAATAAATATTTAGGGTTTAAGTCTTTTTTCCTTTCAAAATATCTTTGTAGCCCTAATTTTTCCCATGGTGTATTTGTTTTATTGATTTTTAAGGCAAGGGCCCCATATTGTGTTTGTGTTTTGATTTTTAAGTTAAGGGAATGACTTTATATTTCTCCCAATTAAATTATTTCAACTGATTAATTTCAGCTTACATTCTATCCTACTGAGGTTTGTTTTTTTCCTTTGAGGGTAGGAGGGTGGGGGTATCCTGATTCATTTTATTAGCTATCCTCAGTTTCAAGTCTCCAATCAATTTGATAAGTTTGCCACATGTAGGTCATTCAAGTCATTCTAAAAAAATGTTAAACAAAATGGGGACAAAAATAGCACCCTGAGGCAATTCACTAGAGGTTTCCTGCCAGGCTGACAATGATCCATCAATAAGTAATGCATTCAGGTCTGGTCATATCATGATTTCTAAATCTACCTAACTGTTATCCCCAGTCCACTTATTTTTAATTGAAGTGAAAATCAGTTTAGAAAACCTTTTAATTGTATTATTATAGTAATAGTTGAGTGGAAGTGGAGCAAAAAGATGGCATTGAGTCAGATTACATTTTTATAGCTGACCAGTAATTCTCTATTCTTGGATCACATAGGACAACAGATGACATAAAATATGGCCAAGAATAAAAAAAGAATACTTTCTTAAAAGATGTGAGAGAAACACACATGAATTCATGTAAGATTTATAAAAAGAGATCTGTAAATTATTTTTAAATTCCTTCATTTTTCAGTTTTTGTGTACAACATTCAAGTGTACAACACTTG